CTTACATTTCGTTCTCACGACAAAATTTGCGAATTGGCTATTGAAGAGCCGCGTCGACTTGAACTCCAATTTCCTTCAAAGTATCTGCAACTTCATCAAACGTCTTACCATCCTGTATCCATTGTGGAAAGTAATGTCCTCCCTTGAAGTTTTCCAGCGCCATTTTTGCTTGCAACTCTTTAAGCCCCACCAACTTGACTGAATCGAATGAGAAGGGGGTCAGGGTCCGCGCCAGGAATCACACCACGCATTAATTATGCCGAAATAACACTTCTTCGTGTAAAGCATGGTCCCCCTCCACCCCCTTGCCCACCGCCACAAAATGCACCACGGGCTGTTAACCATGACACTGAAATAAAAAATTAAAAAACCAGTCTGTATTCAATACTGACCGTTTTGCTGTTTTTCAAAGTTATTTGTGTAAAGCTGTAAAACAAAAATCATTGATCGTTGTGCTATAATGAATTTACTAAACTTATAAAACGGAGAAACCGTATTTATCTTAATACCGCTTGTCGTTTTATAAAACTGTAAAACGACAAAACGGTCGATGGTTCGTTTACTGTTTTTGTTTTGGAGGAAATCCAAAACGGTAAAACGAAATAACGTTGTGTCCCGGGATGCATCTCCCCTCCAAAGAAGCTTTTTTAGTTTGTACAAACAGTTCTATGGAGTAGTAATTTTCCTGCCGAGGACTTGTGTAGCGACTTTTTTTGAAGGATTTTTATTTTTTTATAATAAGGAAATCTTGTATAACATTTGCAGGTAATAAAAAGTTTTATAATGTTTTCGTGTAATTCTAGGTGATTAAGCAGATTTTTGTAAAATCTAGCAGATTTTTGAATTGCATTTAGCAGAATTTAGCCATGACCTTACGGTCACCTGTATCGGCTTAAAAAATTTTTTTGTCAAAGTTAAGTTAGCCGAAAATCGGCTCAAACGGTCTCCCTGTATCGGCTTAGCTGAAACAGGGTGACTGTTTTTAGCCAATTTTCGGCTAAAAAAAAATCTGTCAAAATTAGCCGAAACAGTGTGACCGTTTTCGGCTAAAAAAAAATTCTGTCAAAATTAGCCGGAACAGGATGACCGTTTTCGGCTAACTTTGACAGAATTTTTGTTCAGGTTCCATTGCACCATATAAATTTGGGGTCCAAAGTGTGACATTTTTCCCGTCCCTGTTACCTTGGTACTTTGTAATTTGCCATTCAAGCATCATTAAAAGTGACTTCCAATGATTGTTTATTTGTTGGGTAGGTAGTTTGCTGTTCATAATCACTCTTGGAGGATGACTGCATTAAGGAGTGCATCAGAATTATACAATCATAGATGTCAGATGTAACAGGGACGGGAAAAAAAGTGGACCCCAAATTTATTGAATGACCCATATCTCATGCGAGCAAGGAATCGTGGGACAGAATGTGTGTATATATATATATATATAAACCCACGTGATGCTGCAAGCTTGCTATCTATTGGACTAGGACCGCGTGAAGTGTGCAAGTGAAATGTCGAATTGGCTTATTGGAGGGAGTGAGGCAACCGTCAAGCAACGGTTTTGTATTTTGTATCAAAATAGGAAACGTTTCCCATCACGAACATTTGTAATGACTTACTAACACTGAGGTTCTATAAAGTAAAACAAAATGGCGTCTTGATGTTGAAATCTACCCTTTTTCCCCAACTTTTTTTGAAAATCATATATTTTGGTCCCAAGCGAATTTTTGGAACAACTTCAAGGAATAAAAAGCCTCCACAAAAAGGGCGTAAGCCCAGCTACGCGCATACACCCAAGCCCTTTTGCACATCTATCTTTTGACATTGTTAAAGAAAAATACGAAAACAGCTACTCAATATTATGTTTTAACCATTTCAAGTTAGTTAACCCCATGCGTACGGGAAGCGGTCATGGCCGCGGCCGCTAATCCTCATTGGAATGCAGTTGCCAGCTGTGGTATGCCGTGGCATACGGCTAGTGGGTAGTTCCACAGATGCTGCTTTTGTGCAGTCCCGCTACCACACAAAGGCTGTGCAGTCATGAAGGCCACTTGCTCTATGTGTAGAGGAATGTCCCCATTACACCCCCTCCTTAAGGGGTTTTAAGCGCCCCAATCTTACATGCCGGTGTCATATGAAATTTGGACTCCTGTGAAATGATATCTTTTTTAATTGCCTCATATGGACTCACCCCTCACACGTGACCTGCCACTGTTATAATAATTTTGTTCACTAAAACATGCGCAATACAACGGATTACATGAAGTTGGTATGTCATATAGATCTCCAAGTTTCACATTATACCGGCTTCCCTCAATGCGAGGCTTATAGACCTTAGGCGTTGCTGGTATCTCATGTGGTGTTCTTTGTAATTGTAATCTAGTAGAATGAAGAAAAAAAAGGTTTACTTATGCCTGTCCCAGCTTTGCAAAACCATTACACACTGGCTCCGCCTACCGCATAAGGAGCAAACTGTACTCGCGGGCGTAACCACAACCTCCCAATACAATGTACATATCTAAATTAAAATAAGGCCTACGCAGTATGCAAATAGGCCCTATCCATTGATGGTATCAGATAGGTTGTTCTTTTTGTCATTCTTATGTGAACAATGAATTCATTAAGATATATTCATGCTTACAAAACCATTGCCATTAACCTATTTGAGATGTGGCAGACACAATAGGAGGGCGCTGTTTGGCTTGGGTAAAGCCTTTTGTATTTACCCGAACCAAATAGCGCCCTCCTATTGCGTCCGCCATACCAAATGCTGGTATGCAGAAAAAAATACGTTTGGAAAAGTTCACAACAGTAAGTAAAGACGGACAATCTGATTTGGGTGAGTTTCTTCTTTTTTAGTCAAATGCATAAAAAATAACGTACATTGGAAAATGTGCGAGTATTAAACATACAATTAGGCCCTATGTGAACAAAACTGTGTAGTTCAAAAAATTGCCATGTTGGAAGCATCCGGTGCGAGCTAAAAATATATTTCAGAATTGAACCCCAAACACACGTATATCAAAAATCTGATGTCATCACTTTTGGTACACGAATTACCATAAACCCATGTTGTTCCCTGTAAAATCATGATGTCACTCATCAAAATTACTAAGAGTCCCTGTACAAAATACCCTCCACCGAATAAAAGTCAAATATGTAGATGTTCAAGTTAGTGTACATGTTACAGACAGAATTTGACACTTGTAAACAAGTCTATCAAACTTTCCTTATTTGCATAATTATGCATAAAAGTCTTGCATTTTTGTTGCCCGAGGGCGCTGTTTGATTGGGTGTGGTCAGCTCCTTGGACATGCATGACCACATGTACATGTGTATGTACATGTACACACCTATGCAGACACCTACATGTATGCAGACATGCTCTGACATCACTTTGTAATTTGCCATTTATATGTGACATCCCTTTGGAAGCTCAGCAAAAGTAAGTTTACTGACATTTATTTACTTATTTTGTGATTGTGATTAGAGATTTATTTTCATAATTTAAAAGGAAATTTGTGTGTAAATTTGGATTATTTAGCCAGTCAAATTGAACCATGTGAGTCACTCCTTGTTTGTCATTGAGGCCTTTTATATGATTGAAAGACATTGTAAGATGAAAAGTGTTGTTATTTATACTTACCATGGATAGATTTATAGAGCACTTGACTCAAAATTAGTTTTTGTATTTTCTTTATTCTTATAGTTGAACCTTGCTTGCTTGCTTGCTTGCTTGCTACTTGCTTACTACTACTTGCAACCTGATTGTTTGCCACATCCTACTGTACACATTACTTGCTACTTGAGACACCACTGTGAATTGTGAATTAAACTTTGTGACAGCAATCCAAGCATGAGTTTCAAACTGAGCTTATTGGTATTTCTGTAATCTGGGGAGGTTACAGTACATGTTTTACTCTCAGTATGCTTTCATCTAAAAGCGATTTTAAAATTTCCCTAAATGTGATGTTTCTTATTAAGGTTTTGTAAATTTACATTTCTTTTTTTTTATTTAGTTTTTCCCTTAAATACCCTGACTTGTTTAATACACCAACATAATGATTTTAATATACCACCTGCATGTTTTCATCTAAGAGCGACTGTAATATTTCCCTAAATTTGTTGTCTCGAATTCAGGTTTGCAAAAGTTACATTTTTTTTATACATAGAAAGGCACGGCTGACAGGTAAAGACGTCAAGATTGCCTCGGCTAGCCTCCGCTTGACGTCTAAACACGCTAATTTTTCGTGCCTTGTAGACACACAAAGTCCGGGAAGTCTGTGGAGGCGGATCGTGTGTTTATCTTGAATTGGCCGTTTATACCCAGCACAATATTTGACAGCACAATATCCCCCCCCCCCCCCCCACAATCGCCCTATACCGTATACCGTATTAGGCCATCAGCCTCGGTCCAAAATGTTGGCCACCGGTATCAAATGAGGGGAATAATCGTCATAGCGATTTTTGGCAAGGTATACACCTCCAGAGTTGGAAAATATGTGATAGCACTGCACCGGTGGCAGCTTTTTGGGTGTTATCACCTTTTTATTCAAATTGTCCATCAAAATGCTTGTTACCACTCTAGGGGGCGGTATACCTTGCGCATGCGCACTATAATCATTTATGCCCTGATTTGATACTGACCAAACCCCCAGGCTGATGGCCTATATACACAACCGTATACACACCCTAGACTATTGTTACCTAACACATCCCCCTAGATATCTCAAACGAATTCCTGAGATTCTGGTATAAACACAATGACCAAGCGCTACATAATGTGGCCGGCCGTTGTGCACGGCCTATTGTTGTACAATTTACGCTCCAGTGCACACCCCAGGATTATTGAAACATATGAGGTTTCGGCAAGAAATATCGTACAAATACTGTTGAAACGACTCTTGCGAATCAGTTGGCTGTATATCAGAAGTTGGCAGGAAAATGTTGCTTTTGCCAAAAATCGACATTTTCGGCAAAAATAATCCCGGCGCAAAGTGGTTACACCCTGTCCTGTTTACACCCTAACTTATTTTAATGTACCCATACATGAACCGAATTACACAATTTTCACAATAATTGTTACCCCAACCCATAAAGGTAAGTTGTTCTGTTAAACATAATGCAAATTCATCTTATATTATTATTTAATCCTTAAATGATCATTAAATATCTTCACCGCATTAGTTACACAGAAAATACTACATAAATAGAAAAGGAAAACATATGTGCGTTTCGATAAAAGGCTCATTTTAATGAATACAATTACTACTAAGTCTGTTTTTTGACCCCGCTAGATTAAATGAACCATAGACGAACCAGTGGTAATAAAAATACGGACAGAGCAATAATATTGGTGTGATGCACGAGTTGACTGTTTCCAGTACAAATCTACCGAGTCGAAAACAATATCTTTTTCTTATAATTCAAATAGAGAAAATATCTGTTTCCATCTGGTGTGAGTAAAATCTGCAAGACGTTTGGTCTAGGTTTATTTTTTAGTCTTCTCCTTTTGTCAGTGGAACTTTGTCATCGGATGGTGTCTGTGGAAATAAAAATCACAAATAATCGTAAAAAATAAAATTATTCTTTTGCCACAAAAGAATCTGTTAACAGTTTTCTAACACAAGAGATGCTGGTCTTCCAGACATCAGCATTACGATATCCAACAGATTTTCTTTCTGTTATAAACAGTAAATCTGATTTGGTGCTGTTAACTTGTCCCCAACACAAACTCTAATGCTTGGTCATCCGAAATAACAGTCGCAGGCTAATACGTCCATTCTGGCATGTTTTGTGAGTGTAACAGGCATGTCCATCATTATTATTCACCTTCATTATATCAATTGACCTGAGTAATCTAGCCGATGACTTCAAGCACCAGGGGACGAATTGCACAGAGCTGCATGCTAAGCGAACATAATATGTGACCCGACCCAACCCGACAAAATGAGCCACAAGTCGGCATAGCTACCATTGAGTAAAAGGCCTTTTAACAGAATATACATAAGGAAAAGGAATAGGAAAAATATATTTGATTCACCAGTATACTATCTGTACAAATTAAGGTGTCAAACTGAAGAGCAAATATGCACTGCATACCTGCATGAACAAGAAAATTGAAAACGTGCCCTTAAGACTCATTTCGTGAGATTCGGTCACAATTTTGCTCAGCAAATTTCTGGTAACCAGCCTAAATAGTGCTCAAAGTCTGCTGCATGTGACTGTTTTGGAACAATTTTTTGCTAGGGACAATTTTTCTCTCGAAATTTGCCCATGCTGGGAAGTTATTCAAAACAGCTTTTTCGGTCGGCAATCCAGCATATTATGCAGTCAAAAACAAACCCATAAACAATATGGCTTTTGCCTGAGCCAGCGACAAATTTCGCAGATTATATCGATGAAATTAAGAGATATACCAGAGACTATACTAGACAGGTTTTTTTGGGGGGAGGGTAGACATTTCACCAACCTTTGTGCTTGTACACCACACTCCAATGACGGACAGGAGAATCAAAATGACCAGGAAAATCCCACAGACTCCTGCAATGATAGCGTTGTCTGTCTCCGGCCCGAACAGATTATGATAACCGCCTTCGTTTTGCGAGCTTTTCTCTGATGGACCATCTGGCATTGCTGGAGTAGTGGTGCCTTCGATAAGCATTGCTGCGGACGTAACAACAAAAATTCAAAAGGTAAGCTTTGAGGTTAGTCACGAGGCACACATAATTTAATTCAATTGTTTCAGAGCGGATATCCACTGGAAGTCTTTCCATATGCATCTCGTGGCAACACAATTCGGGCCGCGCTGTTTTTATCTGTAGCACACAGCGTCAATGGATAATAATCATTATTAAGCTAGTTCGATCTTTGTTCATAAGAAAATAACAATGACGTCACACCAATGCTATCACTTATGTATGTACATTAAAGCATTTTAAAGCACGGCTTTCGTCGAGCTGCCACAGTGGCCTACAGGAAAACACCATGGATCGCAAGATCTGTGGTTGAAGCCCATGTCCCGATTTCATAAAATGTCTTTGTTGGTTGGGATAAGTTTAATTGAAAGGAAAACACCTGAGTGTCTTCCATCCACACAGCGTGATAAATATTCATGTTAGGGTGCGTGCTATGATTGGTAAAATACGATGTATGCTGCAAAAAATATGTAGTCGGTCAATTAGTGAGAACGGTACGAAAAAAGGACTCCAGGCTGTCTGCGGGCCAGCAGAAATGGAAATCTTTCTAATAGCATTACAACAGTGCCGAACTTCTTGCCCGAGTGTCACAAAGTGCGAACGACGTGTATCGAAATTGATGGTGATGATTTAAACTGAAATATGTTTATCTTTTACCAACCGGCTCTTTTCAGAACCTCACTTCTTCCAAGAAGAGATTACTGTCCACATAGTGTGATGTTACCCGCAATCTTGCTACTTTACCTTTATTTGGTGGTCCAGGGATTCCCTTTCGAAAGAGAACAACAGCAAACTCGTACTCTGCGTCAGGGTCCAGACCGCGTACCACGGCAGAGACAGAACTGGGCTCGACGGCCATGTTGTCGTACTCGAGGTCGCCCGCGCGCCGCCACACGACCTCTTGATCGTCGACCGGGCCGTCGCCACCTCCATCGGCCGTCCACGGCAGCCAGGTCACGGTAGCGTTGCCTGGGGAGGGGACCCCGATGCGGACCATGGGAACTGTCTGCACATACGGCTTTTCTGTTTAGATATAACACAAACGAATCGAGAAGGCATGGTCAACCAATGGGACCGAAACTATGTAGTGCAGGATGCAAAATGGTTGAAAACTGAATTGCTCTTCTATTACTCTATGGCACAAATCATTCTTTTTGACGATCAATTAACCGTCTCTCTCTACTTCCACCCACAATTGGCCAACATTTTGGAGTGACATTTCCAAGCAGTTGGGCCCACTGCACCAGGAATTCCTGCACAGAAAATGTCTCACTATCACGTAAAATTTTGGATTGGGACACTATCAATTATATCAAGCAACCAATACACTAAGTAATTCTGCCTGCTTGGCATTACCATATACTATCAACCCATGATCAAGTGTACAAAAGTAGGCCTATTAATTATACGACTTTTGTTTTTGTATACTGCCTTATCAAAGCGCGTTGGTGACTGCCATATTTCACCAAACAAAGGAAATGTACTGCATTGTGGTACGCTGCCTTCATAAAAACACGTGCATCCACATGCGCAAAGTGTAGAACACGGGTCACCTGTTTGAACAAAATCTACAATTAGAGTTCAAAGAAATTAAGCATCACCAGCGCACAGGGTACCAGGCCAGGGCAAAAATATGAATGTGATTACCATAGACTTTGACCCTTAGAGAATCCGTCCCCAGGGCCTCGTCCACTCCATCATAGTGCAATGTGCACGTGAACTCCACATTGGGTTCGTCCACGACCGCCCGGAAGTGATTGATCCGTGTCAGTCCACTGACCATGGTGCTCGATCTTTGACCCTTCCCCTCTGGCCCCCCAAGAATCAGGTGGTCTGGACCAGGGATACCAGAAGAAGAGGACCCTCTGCTTCTGCACACGAGCTCCACCGTCTCACCAGCTGCTACTTCGGTCTCTTGAGTGAGGCTCACTTGGCCCACTGCCGAGTGAAAAAGGACAAAGGGAAGGTATTTCAATCTAGATTTTTTCCCCGCAGTCCCCAAGTTGGGCTATATTGACATTTAAGATAATTGAGGTTGAACGATTGAATGCAAATGGATCTTGGATAAACTAATTCATTTTGTGCGATTATTTCACCAAATTCCAAAAGGCCTATAAACATCTTAACATTTCGATGTGAAATGCATATTATATATATTGTTTTTGCTTGATGCCGACGGTTCCGTCATGATGCAAGCAAAACGTGGTTCGACGTGAGGCCGGCTTATGTTTTGTGGATTGCAACTCTCTACTATACACTAATCTTTCCACACAACACTCCGTGTTTGTGCACGCAGATAACCATAAAGACTCTTGTTATATGTTAATTGTGATCATTCAGCCTTTCTCACTAAACCCCTCAGAATATTTAAAATATTAAAATATTTGCAAAAGAAAAAAAATACTGAATGAGCAGATTTGTGTTAAAACTGTATGGAGGTGGAATCCATCGCAACTCCGTTGATTAAACAATACAAAAAAACCCGGTCAATATTGCAAGTTCAGTTGAATAACTTGTGACTCAACACTTGTACAATGTATTTGATTTGGTACTGTATATATGACTTGTCGTGAACTTGTGACGACTTTTGAAGGAGTTGTGATAGAGTTGTGATTGAATTGTGCGACGTTCGATGGACAAACAATTAGACTTACTTGTGATGGCATAATAAGGCTCACTGAACGGCCCGTAGCCTTCTTCGCTCTTGAACTGCACTCGGAACCCGTACCGGGTGTACGGCTCGAGGCCAGCCACTAACGCTTCCGCTGATGTCGTCTCCAGTGAGCTTCCGGTGGGGTTTTCATCGCTGATCAGGCTGTAGCGGTAGGCCAGGAACGGACTGGACCTACTGCCGGACGTGCAGGGTACCCTGTCCCAGGCGAACTTGAGGGATGTCGTGGTAGACTCGTTACGGATGAGTCTCACTCCGGTCGGTGCATCCACTGGAGCTGCAAACGAAAATGAACAAAACAAGGTCCTGACTTACCTAATCGAACAAACCACCGAAGGATAACAACCTGCTTCGCTTGACAAAAGACAGTCGGAGCTATATATTGCAAAACATTGAAGGCTGCCAACATTGGCCTGGAAAGCTTTATAGTTGGTGTATAGCGCCGAGGAGTACGGAGGTCGCAGGTTCTCATCCAGATTAGAGAAATTATCCTTGCTCAATGTTATAAATGGATCAATAGTTTCTTTTTACTCAACTCTGCATTAATTGAGAAGTTTCTTGTCAAGTCTTCTCTCTTAGCCATGCGATTTGAGGCGATGCTGATATGTATAAAGTAATGTGAACATTTCGTCACTGTTTGGACGTATATTCGTATAGACGTATTGGACGTATAGCTGCGGACCGAAGTGCCTGATTCAATCCACAGCTAATTATCAATGACATCGCACAAATGTCTTCGCCTGATGATTTTACTGTGACTCCTTTTTTTGGTGGAGAGTCGGATACAGCTATTACTATTTAAGGACAAGGTGTGAACGTATTCAGATTTTGAGCGCAATAAGTTGAACTTATACGACACTTTCTATCCATTTTTTTGGGTGGGGTTGCGTCGGTTATATATTTGCACTTGCACATGAGGTTTACTCGATTGTTATGCGTCATGTTACCAATTGGCAATTTAGATTCATGAACAGAGAAGTTTTACGAAAGTACACCCGGAAAGTAGAAAAGAAAATGAAGACATTTTCGCGTCCACCAATGTATACAATAATGAGGAAACATTATTTTTCGTTGAAGGGGAGAAAAAACAACAACAGATTATTCTGGGGAACCCACGGAATCCACTCAATATAGGCCTGGGTGGGAATTGAACCAGGGCCACAAAGATTGAAGGCGAGGAAAGATCCACTGCGACATTCCGACTCCCTGATTGAAGTAACATCAAATTTAAAAATTACAAGTGGGGAAACGATTAGAATTGTACCTCCATTAAAACCCTCCTACTATTTAAGAGGTCACCAATGGTCAAAATGTTTGTATCTCACCTCCTGGCTTACTGTGTACAAACCGATGGGCGTATTGACCAATATTGACCCAAGTAGGCCTAATAACCAGGATGACAAGGCATATTTCCATAGGAGTATACTCACACTTTTGGCCCGTCCTTGCATACGTGCTGGATTCGGGGAAGTTAAAACTCAGCGTGAAGCCTTGGATGTATATGAAGTACATGGAGTTGGGCTCCAATCCCGTCAGTGTGTACCGGCCGGCATCATGCGTGCCGCCACGGCGGATCATTTCCACCATCTGCCGGTTACCATACTGGGTGGCGTTCGGCACGGTATGGCACCCATAGCGGTTCTCCAAGGCGAAGCTGATGGAAAAATACTTGGGCTTTCCATGTTCTTGGATCAGCCGTCCCTGGCTAGGGTAGGTCCAGGTCAGATTGAGTGCGTAGGGGTCTCCCTTTACCGGAGTGGCGGATAGGTGGACAGACTCAAATGCTGTAAGGAAAAAAAAAAGAGTTTTAAGCTCTGAAAAACAAATCTTTGACTATATCTAAAGGTATAGGATTAGCTTTTTGTGCATTTTTTCGTTTGGAGTAAGAAAATTGCTCACAATCTTAAGTATGCAGGGTGCACAGACAACTAACCCGTGAACTTTTGGCTCAGCTGGTACTATCTCTTTGTAATATTTGCCTTACTACCGTCTTGTATTGTTCAGCGCGTTAGGACTTTGTGTAAAATGCGCTTTATAAGCGCAAACGGGGAAGACATTTTTGCGCCACAACTTCAAGACAATGGTGCTCCATATTATGATTGACCCTGGAATATAACCCAAGTTATCATTGAAATGCACACAGCTTCAGCTTTAAGATGACACCATGCTTTTTGCTGGTAAACATATAGTCTGGCCACAACAACCCTTTAAAGTAGGATTACCTTTAAAGTAGGATTGCAACAACCCTTTAAAGTAGGATTGCTTTTTTTTTTAGACACCCTGTATATATAAATAATTTTGTCAAATATTTTATGTACACATAAGTGACATAATGCGCCTCATAGTTATGCGCCATACGGCCAATGCTAGACGGAATCGCAACACTGACTGTATTGTTGAAGAGACACCATATGGCGAACACCGTGTCGTGTATAGCATCACGGATCCTAGACACCATGATAAACGACTGTTCTGAGCTCTAGTACAAAATGCACTCAGTGGACTTGCCTTAATTGGTTAGACGCGTGATAACGGGCATTAATACCCGTTGGCGCATAATCGCGAATTTTCCAGATGTGACATTGTGTTGGGTTTTTGCACGACATCTAAAACGGAAATATTCATAAAACTGTAAGTAAAACTACTTCTTATTGAAGATATAATTGTTCCAAATTATTTAAAAATAATTTTTTTCAGGATATAACAGATGGTATCGTGCAGTTTTTGTCGTCATAGATGAAGTATTTACCCGGGAAATAAACTTCAAATTTCGAGGAGAACTCCGTTTACTCAAATTTCGTTTTTAATTAGGCTTTTATTAAAAAGTTTTAGAAAGATAGGATGCCGAACCGATGAAACAAAAGCGACATTTCATTGTTCATCTTAAAGCTAAAGATATTGTGCTCGGCATTAGGCCTACCATGGTTATAGTTATCACTTATCAGAATTCAATAATAAAGACCAAAAACGTAGACTCATGAATATTCAAAAATATAATTCGCTGGCTTGACAGACTTCGAGGCCAGATCGGACGAAGAGCCTTGCAAATCTGAAAGCCACCGCGCGCAGTGGTCTTTGTTGAAAAGTATTCATGGTATTTGCCACCAGTACAGGCCGTTATCACGCGTCTAACCAGGAGTTGGGGCCGAGTCGTTTATCCTTGTGTGTAGGATCCGTGATAGCATCTCAGTGCTATATAAAGCTATACACTGTGTCTCAATGCGAATCACGCAGTAGGAAAGGGACATGCAACAGCTCACTGAACCTGATGGAACTGTTTTACATGATAGTCTTTTTGGGAGAAAAAAATCTTTTGAAAGAGAGGACAATCGCCGTTTGTTCGCGATCGCATTCATTGAGCAAAAGCTACAAGGCCTGTGTGTACGGTACCCTCTGGAGACATGTGCGCAGTAGGGAACAAAATATTGTATACGTCTCCACAGGGCAATTTCCACAGGTGAATACGTCTCCACAAGGTTATCACGAAATATATATATATGGATTTAGTCCAAATTTCAGCCCAGGAAATTCATTCTGGTTAAAATAAGAGCATTTTGAAAGTACACTTTCTAACTCGAAAAACCTAGTACACGAGAACAAAGAAATGACTCCCAAGGATACAAATTTTAGCTTGTGGATTGAAAGTGTTCAGATCAGTTAAATAGCGCAGTAGGATTTTGTGTGTGTGTGCGAGAGCATAACGGGGCAACGGGGGGGGGGGGGGGGTGTCACGGAAGACATCTTAAAAGTTTAGACCATCGGAAACTTGTTGACATCATATTGGATCATGCATGGTTGTAGTAGCGTGTCCGGGTTTTGGGGCCTGGGGATTGGTACTTTTTCTGGAAGAAAGTGGCCTCATTTCCTACCTCCTTTATGGTTATTAAAGCCTATAATTATGTCGCTGGGCTAGGGGGCAGTTCCTCCTCTTCCCCAATAACTCACCATCATTGAGATATTGACGTAAAAGGGGCCATTCAGAATTTTCAATGTTTTAAAATTTCGACTTTTTTTCCAAATTATTTAGACCCACCCACCCACCCCTAATTTCGATTAATAAAAAAAAAACTGAACATGTACATGTACATGCACTTGCATGTACATATACTTGAACATGAACATGTATACCCCTGTAGGCCCTAGATGTGTGTCTAGTTCAGTGACGGCGTGAAGTTATCGGTCTTCCTCTTTTGCACTGGTGACCTTCAGTTCTCTTGTGTTTTGCCAGCTGATATGCTGTTGGGAAAGACAGGTTGCAGTTTTGGAAGCCACAAACGGATGACCGTGGTTTTGTCGTTGTTTTGGATGAGGTGGATGACATGTGACATCAGGTTTGGGCAGACATCACATCACAGGCTGCGGTCCTCGTAGTCTTGGGAGTCCAGTGGTTGAATAGTCCAGTCAATCGACGCCCGCGGCGTGTTATAGAGCCTCTGCACGGCCTATATATAACCGCTACAAACGCCCGGTGTCCAAGTCTACTGAAAAACCACCTCCCTCTCATGCCACAGTGGGTCTATATACACGTAAATGACGTACATGTACAGTACATACAGGGGACGAAGTTGGCAAAGAAGTATAAACACGCATCGCGATATCGGAACGCTTGCGCGTAGTTCAGGCAAGTTAAAAGATCTATCTTTCTTTCTTTTTTTTTTTTCTTTTTCCATGGAAAGTGAATTTCGATTTTTAATTATTTAGCTTGACCCACCCACCCACAATTTGGAAAAAAGATCGAAATTTTAAAACATTGAACATTCTGAATGACCCCTAAATAGGAAGGTTTTAATGTGCCTCGACCGTAAGATGAGGAACATGCAGAAAAAGTTGAAAAAAAAACAACCCTAAACTCGTTTCGGAATTAAAATAAACCTTTGTCACGACCTGCTTTTTGTCATGACTAATTTGTGTAAAGTTGGATGTCCGCCATACTGTACCCAATGATACACTAACACTTATAGTGTACACACATAGGCCCTACAACCCATTCTGTAATATATTTTCCACTGAATTTTATACACATAAATCCGGACCAGATATTGTGTTTAAATAGTTCTGATCAGCGAATTAGTGTTGGTTATTTTCCCGGATTTCTTTTCATCCTGACCAGCTATCGTGGTGGTGGTAAAATCTTTCAAAATATATTGAGGCAATTTCATACATTTCCTCCTCATCTATAGTCTACAACAAAGATAGACACTCCCCCTCCCCTTTCCCTTCCCGTATTTCCCTAGCCCCATAAATGTGGCCAATTTTCTGGACTGCCTCTGTAAATAAAGGCCACACTTCCACCATGTACAAAAAAGTAGAACTTTGTCAAATTTTGATTTTCACATTTAGGCTTAGTTTGTAGTTTATTTTTGCTTTAGAAGCATACTCACCCTCTTTACAGGCTAATCAAAAAAGCTGCCTTTTTGAGATGTCTATATTTCGTGAAATTTCCAGATTCGTTTGCACACGTTCAAAATTTCAACATGAACTTCACGAAAATTAGACATCTGAAAAAGGCAGCACTTTCTGATTAGCCTATAAAGAGGGTGAGTATGCTTCTAAAGCAAACATTAACCACAAACTACGCCTAAATGTAAAAATCAAAATTTGACAAAGTTCTACGTGTTTTGTACATGGTGGAAGTGTGGCCTTTATTTACGGAGGTAGTCCAGTAAATTGGCCACATTTATGGGGCTATTACGGTGCGTACTCAAATTAGTAACATGTTGTTCTACACAAACATTTTATCTGTACACTTTCATCGTAGGATATTTCTTCAGTTGGCAAGTTATTCCAAATTCCCCAAGAATTGCACCCAGCTTTTTTTTGGAGAGACTCACGGGCACTCTATGAAAGAAAATCGGGGTTTACATACCATTGGATCCTTCGAGATGAAGACACAAGACAAACAGTAACAGCGGAGACAAACCAACGGCCGACATTTTGCGTTCCAAATAGTCCAACCGAGTTGACAGCGTAGGGAACAACGGTGGGTACATGTCGGTCTGAAACCTATGCTCGAGCTATGAGTGTAAACACGCACACGTACACCGAAAACAAGGTAAAGAATGACTTTCAATGGTATACTAAACGGGCGACTGAACAATCACCAAAAGTGTAGAAAGACGGCCCGGCTCATTCAACAACCACGCAAACGGCAATATTCATGGTGTACCTGCACTATATGTCACAATAAACAGCCCTTGCATTTACCAACAGTAAATCCTACATTTATTCATTCATAGGCCTATAAACTTTTATTTCCGTCGCAGAGAGATGAGAGTTACATTGCATATTGGAACTGGAAGTCATGCATGAAGTATAGACACTGTACATGTATCATGTATATTGGGTTTCACGCATAATGCCGACGATATTCAGCTGTATGCCGAATTTTAACCTCGAACTGAGGGTGATTGTCAGCGCGTGCTATCTAAGCTATCGTCATGTGTTTGCACGATTAACAAATGGATGATTCACAACATGCTACAGTTACACCAGGGGCCAATTTCATAGAGTTGCTTAAGCACAAAATATGCTTAAGCACAAAACCGTCTTGCTTAATAAAAATCAGGTTACCGGCCAAAACTCCATGCAATTATTATGCTAAGTAAACAACAGCTAAATACCAGTCACAAGCAATGTACAGCACATGGAGTTTTGACCGGTAACCTAATTTTACTAAGCAATGTTTTTTCGTGCTTAGGCAAATTTTCTGCTTAAGCAGCTCTATGAAATTGGGCACTGGACAAAACCATTTTTTGTCTTTGCCAACAGCCGTATTTTACCTACATTCTCTGACCTTGAGCTTAAATTAGGTAGTCTTACTATTCCTGTTTCCAAGTCCATTAAGAACTTAGGTGTCACCCTGGATGGTTCTCTAAATATGTCCCAGCTAGTTAATTTTCTTTGCAAGACCATTAACTTCCACATACGTAATCTCTGGTGCATTCGCCGATTCATCACACAAGATGCCTGCCATCAGGCCGTCAGAGGTCTAGTTCTGTCCCGTCTAGACTACGCCAACTCTCTCTTGTTCGGTGCACGCGAGTCAGACCTTAAGCGCTTGCAGCGCCTTCAAAATAAAGCTGCTCGGCTAGTTTTTGCGTGTGGACGGGACCAGCCCTCTGCTGGCCTGTTGATAGAGCTTCACTCGCTCCCTGTCAAGCAACGGATCTCCTTTAAAATTATCACCCTCATATACAAGTGCCTTCATGCTTTATCCCCATACTACTTGACCGACCTTATACAGTTACTCAATGCTTCCGCTTCCCACAGACACCGACTCCGCTCATCTTCTGATCACACCCGGCTTTCTCACCCAAGATCCAACAAGTGAGCCGGGGATAACTCTTTCAAGGTAGCAGCGCCGCGTCTTTGGAACGAGCTCCCTGTTGATCCGAGAGAGGCGGACTCGGTGTCAACTTTTAAGCGTTCTTTCAAGATTTTCCTTTTCCCAGATCTCTCTTAATGCCTGTGTCCCCCCTCGAATGATATTATTGTTAGTTGCTCTGTTCTCCGGACCCTTCTGTGTTTCCCCCCTTTTGTTAGGCGCTGTGATCTTGGTAGAGCGCGTTATAAATGAATCTGTATTATTATTGTTATAATGCCTGAATCATAATGATGTCACGTTTCGTTTACTGTGGAGTGCGCTCTTTTGATTATTAGCCAATTTGAGGTTTCGCTCGTACCACCCTGCAAACAGGGCGCCGAGACGGACTGATGAGCTTCACAGAATCTTATGAAGCAAGTGGGGATGGCATTCTGGGTAACTTATCATGACCTATGTATAAAGACATCTGGCTTCAGCTGTATAAAACCGCAGTCCGCAAGTGACCGCAGTTAGAAATGCACACATTCCATACCGGATGTTATTTCTTTTTCATTGCAGACCATGTGGACAAAATTTTGAGCGTCGTATAATATGCAATTTGACCCTTCGTGAATTCAAAACGGAGCCAGAGCAAGCGACGGGAATTGAACATTTACAAAACCGATAATTTTTACAGCTTTTCCTACTTTAGGCCCCCAAAAAAGTCTCTTGTTTCTGGTATGTGCGCGCGTCGCCGTAGCCATGCGCGTCGGCAAAATGAAAACGTTTTTTTTTTCAATGAAAGATGATGTCTCATAACCGCCAAACTCACTGGTTTGACTGGAATCCTGCTGCTGCACAATTTTAACGTGTTTTTAGATGGGGTTATGGTCGAGAATAAGCTTTATGTGGCCTCTCTAGTCTCCCATAATAGGCCTATTTGCACTAAGTTTAGTCGGACACCATTTGCAGTCATCAGCCGACATTTGAAGCAAAATAAAAAACAGGGTAAAAAAAAAAGCCGCGTCGCCGCACCACTTTTTGGGCAAGCTCCATACCAGAAACCGGAGCCTTCTTTTTTTGGGCCTTATTACGCTTTTCAAAGTGGGAATAAAAGAGTGACCGTTTAATGATCCTTGCAGGGTCGTGGCCCTGATGACTTGCAGGTCACATGTCACGCAAAATACATCAAATCAGAGCGTAAATTCATCTGCCCGTCCCAGTGTCCTATTTGCAGGAGCGAAATTTAAGGTTTTGGCGACACAATTTGAGAGCGCTATTTACTTTGGATAAATACAAAAGACTTTACCAATATCAAACAGCGCCATGCTACGTGGGTTCAAACCCTGACGGGGAACATATGGTGCTTGTGTTCTTCAGCAAGGACTACGATTGCCTCTCTCCACTCAGGAGTATAAATGGTGACTGTGCATGAAGAGACATCTTCTGATTACATGCATTTCTTATGCTTCGTTCTCCATGACACACACCCGAGATGGGCTAGGCTTAATTACGTCTTGTGAGAAAATGTTCCTACCTCACATTAGTAATTCAAAAGTAAAATGAGAAGAGGTGAAAATGCTCTGTTGGATTCGAACCGGATCACCTGATTAGAAGTCAGGAGCAATCGTCGGTGATTTAAACACCATTATAACACCATTATTCCTCGTTATATAATTTATTCTCTGAAGCCATGGACATCATGAATATGCATTCCATAGAGAGAGCGCCCTCTTTTGATATTGTCCTATCTCGTTTGGGAAAAAATATTTCGCAGGCCGACCTGGCCTGGTTTGCACCACACTGATCCAACATTGTATCAGAATATCTGCTACTTTTACGTCTTTTCCTCTCACTGGATCGAAAACCAGTGGTTTTCCAATACTTAGTCTTGTTTTGCGGCTCGACACTGTGTACATAGGCTACATACCGTGTACATATATTGTACATGTACATGTACAAACCCCCCCCCCCCCACACACACACACACACACGCACCCAGGTGGATCAGAACCCCCCTTTTTTGGGGGGGGGGGGGGTAGGGCGGGAATTTGGTCCTCCGGGGAATTTGTTGCAGGCCAACCTTGGTTTCAGTCACCACATGATTCTATGGGTTTGCCAAACATTATTTTTTTGTTCATCTCTTTTTTTATATTGTTTTTTTTAATACTAGATGCTCTTTGGTGCGATCTGAGGCAATTTCTGACCCCTTTAAAAAGATGGTGGTGTACGCAGTGTCTGCCTTTATTGCGACTTTACTTTTTTTTTAAATGTTGCTGGGGGGGGGGGGGCTTGGCTCCCGTTGGCCCCACCTCCTGAGTCCGCCCTTGCTGACAACATTAGTCTGAACAGCTGTTAAAATTATTATTCACACTTTCGCAAAACGCAAAAGCACATGAGCACACAAGGTTCCACTGCCTCAGAACGCGGGAGCGTCCCGCTCTTAATTCAAAAAATGAAATTAAATAATTGATTCTTGTCGCGGGCCGATTTTTTCATTCGATGTATTCTTGGAAAGCTGATAACTCTATTGTAAAGCTAGAAAATTATCAATTCATTTTGAAAATCTATTGTTCGGGGTGCCACACCTAAAAGAACCTCACATATTTCTTTATCATCTGCGCTTTTCCTTGACAGGAAACATCTTCCTAAAAAAACACACCCAAATACTCAATTATGCCATTTAACGTATTTAAACATTTGAAGCCTCATAATCTACATGTATCATTATATGTCGCAATTTTAAAATTAGATGTAAAAACAATTTTTCCAAATAGGGTACATTATTCCACAGAGAACAATTGACATATAAGATACACGTGTTTTTTTTCAAATATTTATTCGCATATAATATATTAATACATATAGCAAAGTACCAAACATGGTACGAATTCATACGCGTATTTGCATACCTTTTAGAAAATGATTAATTCAAGGTAAAGCAGCGCCCCCATGCGACACGGATAAATCTACAAACAATTCGCTAAAAGATCTCCTATCCCAGGACTACATGTTTCTGAATGTCTAGCCTGCCCAAACATTCGACAAACGGGTTTGTCAAAAGTTTGCTGATATAATTCGTTTCTCATTTCCGTAGAATATAAAAAAATATCCCACATCATCCTGAAGAGTGTTGTTATACAGCGCCCTCAGTTGTTACATTAAAAAACTTGTTCACCTTATGCAGAAGGTTAAAGATATAAGTAGTCGTGCATTCGTTTAGTGTGACTCTCTGTATCCTAGTCTAATAACTAACCCCCAGTTAATCTTTACCACCACACATCCAATCGTCTGAAACATGGAACAACACAACTTCCTTCAATCCATTAAATCGAGCATTCACTTGAAGTTCCATTGGCGTGATTCTTTTTCAAAGTATTTCAATCTAAAATTGTATTTCCTCTTTACATATTCTGCCACCAATTTCGCTCTTTCAAAAGAAGAGGGTGATGCAACGGGTTTAGAACTTTGAGTAATTAACATAATATGTAAACTACCTGTAAATGCTTGGAATTCATTCAACTGAATAGATCAACTAATCACTTGAGTTTCCACTGGACTGATTCTTTTTCGAAGTATTCCAATCTAAACTTACATAAATATGTAATTTTCACTGTATGTAGTGTGGTTCTTAGTTTCACAGTTTGGACATAAGAAAGTTATGCAGTGGGTTCAGTCTTAATAAAATCAAACTTGCTAGTCCAGCAATACACCTTTTGTTATATCGACGCCTGCCAACAGTGCCACAGACACGTTTGTTTGTGGTGTAAATCGAGGATTTTTTGTATTGTACGTCTTCCCTTTTCCTTTGTTTATACAAACTTTTTTGCAACAGCTCTCTTTGGTTTTGTACACATTTTCTAATCGAGGTCGTCCTCGATTTGGTTCCTGTCCTCAATTCATCGATGATGTGTGTCCTCGATTTACACCATAAACAAACGCACTTCAGTCTTGTGCCATTTGTTCTCGTATTTCTTGTATGACATCCATCCGCTGAATCGACGGTCTACCGAGGACTTCCAGCAAGTCGCTGACCGTCACGTGACTGTCAACCATCGCCCACTCTCGCAGCAGACACTCGGTCGGGTTGGTTATCTGCTGGCTGTCCAACAATGCTACAGACTCCACGTCTTTACCCAACTCGCCTACAAGACAATGGACAGGCTAAATGAAAACCATCTGCGTACATATACCTTATGAAAAATAACTTTCTGAGAGTTTGTTCAACAATTAAGCTGTTTTCGGCATTACAACCGGTCACATAAATATTAAAGGAGGAGCACAGACCCCCTCCTCCTTCGAAACCCGCATCTTCTTGCTCCACCCCCGTCCCAACCCGCGTCAAATTTCGGTGAAGACCTCAATTACGTCACTGTCTACTACTTTGGTTTTTACGTCTTTGCACCCGCACCACGCAGGGAATGTCTTGTAAGTAATTTCCGAATTTTGCTGGACCCAGAGAGCCAGCCTACTTTCCTCTTCGCACCTCACTGACAGACTGATTGACTGACTGATTCTCACTCATAGTACTATCCTATAGGATTCCCCCGTAACTCCAATGAATGAGCTAAGTCCGACTCATTGTGTAAACCCGACATATGAGATGATTTCCAGGGAACAATTTTGTGTGCGCTCTGGGACCAGCGTTTAAGCTAGGATTAGATTTTGTGTTGAGAAAGCGTGTCTCAAGGCACTGTTGGTGCCAAATCAGTGTCTCTACATTGCATCTCTTGTAAGGGTCTATTGCTTACCTGCCAGAGCTTTCCAGTTACTAAAGACTGACATGTTGTTCAGAAGTGAGCACACCCTCTCAAAGAGGTCTGGCGGTAGCTTGGTGATGGGGGTCCCCGGGCCAAATGAGATCGTCATAGGAAGGGCCGAAAAACTGCTGTTAGCTTCCTAAAGGAATTGGAGACAATTGAGACATTATATTAATTGACAAGGGCCGAACAACTGCGGTTAGTTTCCTAAGGAATTGGAGACCATTGAGACATTACGATATTAATGGAAAACCTTCATGCAACAGAAACTATCTAGGTCAGAAGATGAACATTGGACTGTATTATTAGCTGATACAGTTAAGCCTGCATTTATGGGAAAAACTCGGAAAACATAGCTTTAAGTATGCCCTTCGCTACGTATTTGTTGTAGGGTACTGTTTCAAATTATTCAAACAATCGTGCTTTCAAAAAAATGAAACATGTTTAAACCTACGCTGGGATTACTTGTAGGCAGCTTCAGCTCGTATCTCTGTTGACCGCAGAACAGAGGTACCGGTGATTCTATCGGGAACGGCTGGTCATGCCCGGCCATTTTTAGCACGTGGAATTTCGTTTGGTCGCTATTGTTGTTTCCACGTGTGTCTTTGGAGAGGTCCTCGCTTGAATTGCCTGAGTGGACTTCACGTGCACAGAAAGGACAGCGAGGACCGAATTCGAAGCACAACTGTGGATAGTCCCTGTTGGTTATGCTCCCGACATAGTCAAAAAGCTCCTTCAGAAGTTGTGTGCTTGGCATCTTCGGTTCAAATGCCAAGATGGTGACTGACAAAAGCATCCGGTGGCAGGATCTCTCCAACTGGAGCTTGAGGATGAAGTTTGCTCCGATGTGGAACCGGCTGCGATCCGCGAAGATCAACGGTCTGGAGCTTGGGCTTGGCTTCTGATCAAAACAGGCCCTGGTTAGACAGCGGGTCAGCAGACGGTAATAGACGGTGCTGGGATCAAAGAAACCAAAGTCGAAATAAAAGGCCTCCTCGTTACTTTGGGGATTCCAAAACTCCACCAATTCACCTCGGTAAGGAGGCAGCATGGCAGGCACCAAGAAAGACTTCTGGGAGCAGTTTGGATTGAAGACAGACGCCACCGGACACATGAGGTCGTAGGCCTGCAGAAGCTTGGTCAGAAGTGGCACAAGATGAAGCATGTCTCCGTAAATATGTTGTAGAAGACCCTCGTTGATGATTCCACTGCTTTCGTAATCTCTCCAATTCACAGCAAATCGATGCGACCTTTTACAGCCACGCGGGATTCGCACGAGTTTCTTCATGACATCAACTAAGAACTGGGGGTCCAACACGACATGTTGTCGTAAGATGTCGTCGTCATCTTTATGGATGATTTCTCCAGCCTCGCCAAAAAATCGCAGCATGTTCTTCAAGTCGTCTTGGCTTGTCACATCACAAGTATCTCTGGCAGTGTCTCGGATTTGGTCGAGGGACATCACGCAAGCAGCACACTCCGTCTCTGCCAGTTTTCGACGATTCTGGATCTCGCGATAGAAGTGCAGGTACTTGATGGGATATCTTTCCTGAGCGTATTCAGCGCTCTCGACCCGTCTGAATATTTCTGCTCTCAACTGCTTGAAGTCATCATCAACAGGTTGGGAATTCTCGACGAGAAACAGCGGCTTGTCATCGAGAGGGTTTAGAACCAGCCGATGGCAGAAAGGAGATGTGATTCTACGGTGAAGTTCTTCAGTAAAACGTAACCTATGGGCTTCAGGGACGCTTGCCTTGTGAGTACCGACAATGATGATAACAGCATCTGGGTGACGCGCATGCGCACAGACTGAATGTAGCCAGAAGAGAAGTTTCTGCAGTTGTCCATCTTCGTCAGAAACAGCGGCGTGTAGGTTGAAGACGATCACATACAGAGCTCTGTCCGGCATAAAGACGTGATGGGTGCAGTGGTATAGAGTGTCCCCAGCAAAGTCCCATAAACTCAGCTTGGTCTCTAAGATCGGTTGTCGTTGGAGTACCGCTTTCATCTGCTCACGGATAAGTTTAACGGGGAAGGTTGACTTTTCTCGCCATACCTTATAGGTGTTGTGAAGATCAAACAAGGGATGTGCCAAAATGGAAATAAGATACAATGTTACAGACGGCAAAGTGGCGTTCGGTATCTTCGTGGTCCAGCCATAGACGTATGCTAAGTACAGGCCTAATATGAAGCCCACAGTCTTTTTCGATACGTAATTAGCTGTAACTCCATATCTATGGGAAACTCTCCGACCAACAATAGTCCCCCATGTCGCTTGGATTGACATCGTAATTCCGTTCAGAAACAGGAACCAGTAGCGTCTGTTTCTGCAGTCTCCTTTGAGGCTCAGTGCAAGTATCCACGCCAGGAAGCCACAGCACGTAGCAGTTCTGTATTTATGCCACCTGTCATTGAATGTACAAATAGAGTAGCATCCAATGCCAAGAAGTACTCCTGCACTTGATATCACAACCACCACAAGCATGTCCCAGGAGATAATGGGACTCTCAGCAGCAGCTTCCCGAGTCGCCTTAATCTCTTCTGGATGAAGACTCGCCGAGAAGGCAACGGCGACACCTGTACGACAACCGAAACCAATGGCTGCACCCAACATTACGGTATTTATCGTATCCAACACCATGCTCTGCATAGTAGACCAAACCGTCTGGTTTACAATCCCATCACCTATGCCCTCCTGACAGCTCGAAGCTTCTATCACACCATCTCGTCTAATTATTGCGTCGAAGAGAACGCAGAACAAAGATATATACGTTGCGAACCGATAGGCGAAGTTGTAGTTGTGCATCAAAATAAGTGCTGCGAATATGCACCATACAAATGCTGTATACCCGTACTTCAGCATACCAAATCCAAACACAACTACGAATAAACAAAAAAGCTGCAGGCCCATTTTCATTAACTCAAGCAACGTGTTCGATTTTGTGGGGTCGTTCTTGCTCGATGCATTCACTCTCTGGGATCCGAGTGTAGTTGCTTTACTAGCCGACGACACTTCACCAAGGACAGTCACCACTGAGGCACATTGCTGTATGTCATCTGCCTTGGCGCCTTTGGATTCGTTCCACTGTTTGTCCACTTTGGTCACGTGACACATGCGCGTCTCAATCCCCTCAGTCGGCTGTTCCCGGGTGTCGAACTCCCTTCCTATGAGCCGGTTCAGAAGACTGGTTTTACCGGCACGAGGCTCCCCGAGTATCAGGACCCGGGCTCGGTTGATCGGTAACTGACCGTCCGTCATGGCTGCTGCGTAGGCCTCTCTCAGGGAACCATCCTTCAGCAACGCAGTGAGGTGAAGACTTCTTTTAAAGTCTGAAATAGGAGCCAAAACTTTTGCTGAATCGCGGTGCTGCATTTTCGATGGTGAGTTTGTGATGTCCATGGTCTATAATTGAAAGAAGAAACATGTACAATTAATGATTTGGTTCAATTTAAACATAAAACTGCTATTTTTCATCATGATGCAAGCACCGCCAAGTTATGTGTGTAACAGTTCAACACATCACTGTTGACTGACACTTTCCAGTATCTTTTTCGGAGATAGTAGTATCTGCCTCCAATACGGTTAAATGCTTTAATCTTTCATGCATATTATTTTTACATGACAATTGGTTACAAGTCGGTTAGATTTCGTTGACCAGGCGGTAATACTTTCCAATTGTGCGGGTTCCAGAGGTCCAGCGCAGTGTCCTCTTATATCTCATTGGGTGTCACTTGTTAGTTAGACTTGCTTCAGCCTCACATTGACTCAGATGACTACATATATGGCTCCGTGTAATTTAATACAGTTCTATTCTCCGTGCACAAGTACCCCCATCAACGGCTAGAAAAGGAGAGTTGGGGGGTTACCTACAGTGGTTCTCGATCCATCCACTGCGTATTTCGAATGTATAGACAGCTTGCAGACGCGATCGATAATTGACGCGCGAAGGTGCACGACGCCATGTTATGGGACAAAATGTGCATGGATAGATATACGCCTGTCCCACAACATGGCGTCGCGCGCCTTCGCGCGTCGATTATCGAACGCATCTGCAAGCGGTCTATTCAGAGTTATAGACCGCTTGCAGACGCGTTCGATAATCGACGCGCGAAGGCGCGCGACGCCATGTTGTGGGACAGGCGTATATCAATTCACGCACATTTTGTCCCACAACATGGCGTTGCTCACCTTAGCGCGTCAATTATCGAACGCGTCTGCAAGCGGTCTATTGGAGGTAGGGATTAGTCTCGGACACCATCGCAAGTTGAATTCGAACGTATTCGCGCGCCGACGACGCCTGACGCTCACGCGGAGACGCGATGGCTATATCTTTTGCACATTCAGGAAGTCGTGCGTACTTCGCGAGCGAACCAGTAGTACAGTACGCGCACGCTGTGAGTCCTGTCGTCCAAAGAGCTCTCAAAAGAGGTAAAAACGCGCCTTCTTTTTTTGGCGCACGGAGCCCATATGCCGACGACGCCTGACGCTCACGCGGAGACGCGATGGCTATATCTTTTGCACATTCAGGAAGTTGTGCGTACTTCGCGAGCGAACCAGTAGTACAGCACGCTCACGCTGTGAGTCCTGTCGTCCACGGAGCTCTCAAAAGAGGTAAAAACGCGCCCTCTTTTTAGGTTTTATGAAATACGGACTCTTTGGTGGTATTGCGCATGCTCATGCATAGATAATTGGGAGAGGGACCGGTCACGTGAGAGGGTCTAACCAATAAAAGGGGAAAAAAGTCCGATTTTCATACGAGTCCGATTTTCATATGAAACCGAACGAACTTTACTTTAGGACAAAAAAAGTCTCCGGTTTCTGGTATGGAGCTTGACCAAAAAGTGGTGCGGCGACGCGGCTTTTTTTTTCTTTTTACCCGACTTTTTTGCTTCAAATTTGCTTCAAATGTCGGCTGATGACTGCAAATGGTGCCCGACTAAACTTAGTGCAAATATATAGGAGTCCAGAGAGGCCACATAAAGCTTATTCTCGATCATAACCCCATCTAAAAACACGTTGAAATTGCACAGCAGCAGGATTCCAGTCAAACCAGTGAGTTTGGCGGTTTTGAGACATCATCTTTCATTGAAAAAAATAACTTTTTCATTTTGCCGACGCGCATGGCTACGGCGACGCGCGCGCATACCAGAAACCGGAGACTTTTTTTTTCGCCTTAGCATCTTCAAGAAAAAAAAAAAGAATACCTGGATGCCGGTATCCAGTTATCAAGGTTTCAATTTCACTTCGGCATACCTTTGTGAGTCCAAGTCCAGGTAAATTGAATCCACTTCGACGAAACAAAGGGATTGTTCTGATTGAAATCGGCTTAGTTCGGGGTTGTTCGGGATGATTCGGGAGTTTTTAGTATCCTTTTCTTGACAAAATAGCTACAATTTGGTTTATTCTGCACTAAATCTCAATCGTTCGGCTTGATTCGGTCTGATTCGGCTTCCAATTCGTACTTATTTCTGTTTCATTCTCAAATTATCCGCACAAACAGCGAATCGGGGCTAATTTTTTTCTGATGCCAACAAGAATTTTTATTCGGGATAGATCGGGGTATTCGTAGCAATAAGTCGGGAATGCGTGAACCTAGCATTGCCTGCCTGTGCGCACGTGCTTGTGTTTTGCACAGGTTTAGCTGTCAACCGCCCGCATAATTATGAAGCGACCTCGCGCTGCAGCTCGTGCCGACATGACAGAAAGTTCAATCTTTTGCCATGGGTTGCAGAACCGGATTTTAGCTTTGCGAGGTTTCGAGCAGCGGTGTTTATTATTTACATTCTCCATTTTTCTTCTTCCCTCTTCCTTTCCCCTTCCTTCTCCATTTTCACTTTCTATTTTGCCGACTGCACTATGATTTTGCCGACAAAACTGTATTTTGGGGAGGGAGACCCCCCCCCCCCCGGCCCCGATAGCGAAGCCTGTGACGTGCACTCGTGTTCGCCTTGTACTTTCGATTTTCGACTGCACATATCAATAAATACGGATTATGCTTCGCTTATTTCTAAAGAAACAACCCACAGTAACACAGACTGCTGCTCAGCTTCGATAGCATTTACGGAATTGTGATCATCAATAGCCAGTGGGGTTTTCACAGCGAAATTCGGCTTTCCTTTCACTGAAAAATGTATCAACCCGTCGCATGCCAAAAAGTTGAAAATAAAGTACATGTACTATGTGTACGTGAATGCCCTCGTTTACTTTCATCTGAGGTTCTTTGGGTAAATTGTGCAATCATGCATGGCCTTCACAAACATCGCGACATGCGTATGTACAATAGGATGTGCAAGTTAACCTATAAAACCTACCAGTTTTTACGGGAGTACAGTTAATCCAGTCAACATGCATAATCTCACGACATGTAAAAATAATAACGTCTTATTTTGTTCATTTATTTGGTGTCCTGATCCTAGCTTATCCAGTCAATGGCATTACATGGATTCTGCTAAAGAAATAAAGCATTACAAATTTACGACAAATTCAGATTATTGCGAAGTGATGGCTGTAATAAAATGTACAACTTTGAACTCGACATACATGTATGTTTAATCGAGCACGCAGATAAGCTGTGGCTAAAATCATATACGGGAGTCTGTGACTAGACTGGTCAAGTGTTTGGTACCGAGGCGTTGACAAGAAAAAGTGAACGCGAACTTGCGAGACTTGCACGTTTCATAATCAAATTTCAAAGACGAGTGATACAACATTGGGTTTATATGCTATTTTATTAACATGAAAAACAATTAAAACTGCTGCAAATTGATCACTGACTGGTGACGTGAAATAAAACTAATTGATAAAAACATGTTAGAGAGCTTGACTTTTCGACCCCGGCAAGATCTTTGTTTAAGGCAACGGGAAATATCATTCCATGGTCGTGACGTCAGGTCTTCGGACTTTTCTGAACTTTGCTTACTTAGCCAGAACCTCGCATGTATAATCTCACATTAGGATTGCCCCGCGTTTTTTAAATTCTAGGGTATTTGGCAATTCTTACCCCTTAACCGATAATTCAAAATTGCAAGTAATTATACGCCGACGGCTCATGTTAAAGCAGTAGGTACTTGGTACATATTTGAACATTGTGCATTACACACCCACCTTTGTCAACCTGCTAGTTCCTCTGTGTGATCCAAAAATGTCAAACAGAAGGGATTTGCGGTTCCCGATTTTTTTCAAAATCTTCTCCGATGAACATCAAGAACACCTGCAAAACAAAAGAGTCCGACCAACTTTACTCAACCTTCATTAATCGACAACAATTTGTCAGATTTCCAATTTTGACTTGACTTTTTAAAACAGATGAAGGGGTTGAAGTTTGAAACATTAAAAAGAAATGCCTTGCCGGAAAAAGACTGAGTTTCGGATGTCTGTCCCTGGTGTGAGGTACTTGTCTTTTTTCCGATAAAGAATGGACTTATTCACGCTTTTCACATAATTACAATAATTGTCTGGAATTGTTATTATCAAATTATGAAACATTCACATTTATAAGTTTTTTTTTGACAGTTATTAAAGTTGAAATGTGCAGCTGAAAAATGGACCCATGTCAGGTTGGGTTACGTCTCGATAGTCCGAAGTACCACTGGTCCGAAGTCCCATTGTTCCGTCGGACCAATGGGACGTCGGACTATAGAGACGTCCCCGTCAGGTTGGCGCAGTGGTTCTCTCCTTGCCGTCAGCCTCTGTGGCCTAGACTCGATTCCTTCTCTGGTCGACATGTGGATACCTACCTAATTCCGTGGGTTTTCGCTCCAGAACGTGCCCGCAGGACGCTGATTTCAGGTACAATTCAAAACACGACTCGGGAACTTTTGAATTGAGATCGAGATCCTAGAATGTTGTTTTCCCGGAATATACAGCATTCACTGAGCAAACACTTCATCAGGTTAGTTGTTAAGCACCCTTCTTTAGATTTTGAGTACTTTTGTTGCTTTAATTAACGGGGAAAATGCACAAATGACAAATGGTAAACTGTACCTTTAACCAGCCTAGACCACGCACTCGATACACTTATAAAATATACAATTCTCTCGCAAAATAACGGTCAACTCAATGATGCTTAAATCACATATAGTCTGTTGTGTAAGTCCTACCCACTTTATGGCGTCGGTGGATGTGAGCTGCTCCTAACGCTACAGTCAGCACTTGTACTGTCGTGCAACTGATGGCACTCTTACAGCTTTGGACACAACGTAACTAGACTACGGACCTATCGAAAGCGAAAACTTGTTGCTCATATGACAATCTGTTCACGTTGTAGTCATTGAAATTGAATACTCCCAATCATGCATGAAACCGCTTGAAAAGTGTACCAAAGTTCGCAGTCTTTTGAAGCTTTGTTGAATTGTTCGAACACGGCACAAATAAAATATACATGCCAGTTCACGATAGTGAAATGAGAAATGTGCCTACCGCAAACAACAAGATCTGAAATCTGTGAATAAAAATAAAAACTTTTCATGCCAAAAGTGCTTCTACTTTCGTTATTTAGTGGCGGCGTCGGACTCTGGCGGGGGTGGGTGGAGGGGGGGGGGGGGGGTTAAGGGGGGCAAATAAAAAAAAGTAAGGTGCAAATAAAAAAAATTGTTCGTGGGGGTTAACATAAACTTTAGTGTATGGAATATATCCTTGCACCAAGGGTTCATTTGAAGCTTAGGGTCGCTTTTTAAAAACAATTCACATACGCATTTATGTACATATACACGTGTTTGAGGTCAATTTTCGAAGGTTTCCAATCTTAAATACACTTTCAATTTACGGTACAATGTTGACTTTTGGTCTTGTTTTGTTTCCCTTTCCTTTCTTTTTACCTTATTGTTTCCTTTTTTCTATTGGTTTTATTTCCCTGAGGTGGGGACTGGGGGAGGGGGAAAGGGAGACAATGCATGGGGGGATGCCCCCTTTGGCGCCGCCACTGTCCTTCAGTTAAACGTTTCACAAATAAAGCCTTGGCCATGCAGTCTTTGCACACATCGTGGAATACTAACACCACGTAACTAAACATTTCAGAATACAAGGAGCCCATATTTTATACTTCATAAAAATCTTTCCAGTCGGTATCACACTGTAAAATGAATGACCCAAAAAATACACATACGAAAGGGAAACATCTCTGTGTGAACATGGAGCAATTGTTTATAGCTCCTGTTTAATAGTTCCATTGTGTGAACATGTAAGATTAGTTCCGCATCGGTTTCTTTTTCTGACTGCAGTTTATTTTAAAGCCATATTTTTAGAATGTGAAATTGTTCAAAAATGTTTTATTTCAGTTAAAAAAAAAATCCGAACAAACGTTTAGGTTGGTATTACAATGCTCTGATTACAAAATAATCAATTCAGGTATTAAAGAGTACACAATATTTATAAAGAAATATTCCCAGTTTAGTGTTCGCATTAAAGTTAAATTATTTGGAGTATTAACAGTGCAGATGTCAATACATGGATCTTAGCAGGCCCGGATTAAGTGTTTCGTAGGCCCTAGGCACAGTCTTCCGAAGAATGGAAAAGGAAGGGGAAAGGAAGAAGGAATAAGAAAAAGTAGAGAACGTAAATAATAAACACCGCTGATCAAAACTCCGCATGGTTAAAATCAGGGTCTGCAACCCAAGGCAAAAGATTGTACCTCTACATTCTGTCATGTCGGCACAAGCCAGCTACAGCTGTGCAAAACACAAGCACGTTACGAATTGAGCTGATTCTTATTAGTGACGACTCAAAAATAACAAGGGCATATTTCGATAGAGAGTCAAGCTACAGTTTTGATATTTGCGCCACAGAGCATCTGCAATCCAATAATTTCCCGGGGCTCTTAAAAAAACGTCCCCATACCCCCGACCTTCAGGGCTTTGCGCTCGCATATAAAAAATTCCACTATAGGATTTAAAGACCCCCCCTGCAGTCTGGGATTAGGGAACAGGCCTGAACAAGGTATGCGCAAAATACTGAGCATGTACATGCATTTTTGCGACAATGAAATAAAACATTATAGTTGGATTGAATTTTGTATTATCAAGCAATTTCAAAAATTAATTTCGAACCATTACATTACATTTGCAAGCTCTCAATATAACAAATTAATCATTCTTGCAAATGTCCTCCGATAGAAAAGAAAGAAAATAAAACAAAAAGTTATGTGGCGATGGCCAAGTCTTCAGGAGTCGGACTTATGACCCTAACTCAATGAGCCCCTTACCGACTTCCAATATAGAACTCTTCCGGGACTCGGTACCCGGCCCACCACACCTCCTTCCCTGTCCATCCATGTAACTCGAAAGTCAGGCACCATAAAGGGAGGAAACGAGGTGGCACCCTAAGCCTTGCTGCCGAGTCAGCAAAAGAACCCCGTACCTATACGCAGATGCCAACCTGGACTTCGCAGACAGTCCCAACTTGTGAGTCAGCTTACCGACCGACCGAGCTAACTGCTGTTGGTAAATGACGACAGGAAATTAATACTCTTAAATGACAGAACCGCAGGCATCGAAAACCAAAAAATGACACCAAGCGGGTTCGAACCCCTAACCCTGGGTCCGCTGTCAGACAGCTTAACAACTAGGATGTTTCAGTATGTGCTTTTCTCTTTGCGTTTAAAACATAATCGTTATTTCCGCAGTGGGAGAGTTATTTTGTGTTTCATAGCTGCACGAAAGATGCCTCAGCATCGCGCTATACACACGATTGCTGTTACGTAACTCTTTTCTTATCGTTCTTACGTATTGAGCAGTTGACTATTCAGAGTCACTACGAGCACTTAACCTTACCAAGCTTGTCCTTATTCTGTCTCATCAATTGTTTCGCGTCGCGAGTCTTTCGGCTGGCACTGACATATTGCGCCGATTGAGTGCTTATTCTAGCAAGTTTTCCCTACCTCATAATATTTATATCAAACTACTGACCCGTTTACAAATATTTACGAGGGAATTTTGTTTGTCTGATTCTAATTCAGCTCCCCTAGCTTGGGAAAATTCATCTTTTCTTGTAGAACTATACGCTAAGTCTAGGGAACGATGCCATTATAATACAATATCACATTAACGTCAGCCGGTGGTATGATTAGAATCGTGAACACGCGAGCGCAATGACGGTCAGTGGCGTAAATCTGTGCCGGCGAGTGGGGGTGGGGGAGGGGGATGACCAAAGCCCGGCCATGTGAGGCCGCAATTCAAAATGTGACTCGGCAATGTTTGAATTGAAAACGAGGTCCGGAATATTGTATTTTCTAGAAATATGCAGCATTTACAGAGCCAAAATTTCATCGGGTTAGTAATTTTTTAAACATCGGGCGTTTTAAACACACACTATTATGTAAAAACTACTCCCAAGGCCCCCCCCCCCCAAAAAAAATAGTCGGTCTCTGGTCAGACCGAAGTTTCAGAATTGATGCGGCGACGCGGTTTTTTTTTTTTTGGGGGGGGGGGTGGCTTTTTTTGTTTCAAGATTGTATTGTACAGACAAGGTGGGTACTATTTTGCTTTTTTTGTGTCCTCAATATGCATTGGTGTCCTCCATAATTTGCCTTGGTGCCCTTTATCGTTTGCCTTGGTGCAATTTCCCCATTCCTTGGTGCTCCTTGGTACAAAAATTTGAGGAGGCGCGGCAATATAGGGCGCTGTAGTAGCTTCCGTGTTAATTTGAAGAAAAAAAAAGGTTGACGCGCATGATTTGAATCGACGCGCACGTTGACCAGAGACCGAGTATTTTTTTTTTTTGGCCCAATAATCAAATATTACCGTTGGGAGACACTTAAGCACCATTATACCTTTGCGAGACATGTGGATTAGGGAGACATTTCAATGTCTCCCTAATGACTCAGCCCCTATATAAAGGCACAATAATGCAGCCGCATACACGCTAGATTAATTGCTCGTGGTCCAATTGGTAAACATACCAACATTCGTGGGGGTAGGATAAGGAAAAAGTCTGGGTGAGGGGTCATTAAAGTTGGAAACATATGTGTACACAAGTCTATCGGAATATCTCCCTATATAATGACCTATTGTCAGTATCAGCAGTTCTCACTTCATAAAAATTTAAGAAAAAAAAAATGCACGATAGTATATACAAGTATTATCTGGTTTTTGGACACCCGAAATTCTACGAGCAGGGAAGTTATTGACAACTTTGGCACTATAGAAGGCGCTGTTTGTGATAGAAACAAAACTAGACCTATGTGTATCTTTTAGTCAGTTTATTCTTGCGCCATCTGTGCACGTATTTCATGTATGACATCCATCCGCAGGAGTGACGGTCTACCAAGGACTTCCATCAAGTCGTTCACCGTCACGTGACCGCTTATCATCGCCCATTCTCGCAGCAGACACTCGGTGGGGTTGGTTATCCGCTGGCTGTCCAACACTGCTACGGACTCCGCGTCTTTACCCAACTCGCCTACAAGGCAAAACAGAATACGAAGGATGCACTGAATATCGTTTAAACGTTTCACTACTGATGGTCCTAGATGGATACAGTGTTCTTTTTGCACCTATCTCACTGAGTGTCACTCGTTTTTTTAGACTGATTGTCTATCTGAGTGTCACTTATGTTTTAACTGATTATCTATCTGAGTGTCTGTTTTGACTAGCTTAACTAGGCCTGACTAGTCGTGTAATCAGGTTGAAACAAGAAATTAACCGGAGCAGAAGTTGAATTGTGACAACCGGAATGGCGCTTCACCAATACAGCTATTCAGCTCAACATTTGCGCAGTAAGCCAATATTTACATGTCTTTGTTGTTATGGCTGTCTGCTCATCTTGAGTAAAGGCATAAGCCAACATAGTTAAAAATAGCCTAGTTTGTATAGCGCTAGTACAGTTTTCCAGGTCGGAAGCCAAAATGCCGCTCAGAGTCATTTTTTCCCCTGTGCCACCCAAAGTTGTTGAAAGCAAATGAAAGCTTTATAGCCATGTTTATTTTTGACTTTTGCATATCATTGTGGCCACAGTTTTGCTTTTTCAAAGGAATCGGATATTGTTATGGTTTTTCTGACGTGCGGGTTATATGAATCTTAATTTGGTCATGACCGAATCGCATATGGCTACAGCTTTGGGCTTGTGTCATCTTCACTATACGGTGAATAGCCGTACTGAGTCGCAAGCTACAATGCCTTACCTGCCAGGGCTTTCCAGTTCCTGTTACTCGAGGAGTCATTGAGCAGCTGGCACACCTTATGAAAGAGGTCGGGAGGCAGTTTTGTAATTGGTGTCTTCGTAGTGAATGCTACCCGTTGTGGCAGATGGCAGGAACCACAGTCCGTATCCTGTGTGGTATAAAATAGGAGGGACAAAAGTTGAAATCCAAATTATTTTGTCAATAAATGCCCAGTGTCTTAAAATATGCCTGGTCTCTAATTAAGAATATTTTTTTTCAAAACTCATTTCTCACGAGCTACATGTACTCACAAACTCCAAAGGTCAAACACAATCTCAAAGAAGCTTGAAAGAGCCGTGCCGTGCCAGAATCCCATTTATCCATGAACTTTAAAGGCCTGTTTTATGCTAGTTTTTGTGTACCAGGTTAACGGTTACAGGGGGAATGTGAAGCCAGTGAAGGTGTTAGTTTACCCAGGGTGACGTACGCATTATAATTACACAACATTGTATAATTTACACAACACCCTGATGGACTATCTCGGTACAGTGGTCAAATGCGGCGTTTGAGCTTAGATATTGAAGAGGGCGCTGCTAACTAGATTCCTAACACTGATGTCATCTAAGGCTGACTTGAGGACATTCATATCTGGTGTGGAGCGGATATCTTTTGGTATAAGATTCCACTCTGGGATAGATCTTGGGAGCAGTGAAAATCTTTATTAAAGCTGGGTTCCTTATAATCAATAATGCTTTCCATTCATACGACGTGAGTGGTGTGAGTCATTGTGACGAAACTGTTCAATGTTGCTTGGGATCAAACTATGGGTTTCCTTATCATTTATATTTCTCATATTATATGCATTGGTATTAACGGAAAGTGTCCAAGCAATGGATACACCTACCATAGATTTATATCCAGACAGCACCAACTCGTATCTTTTCTGACCACAGAGCATCACGGCCGGGGACATCGTAGGGAACGGCTGGTCATTCCCGCCCATCTTCAGCACGTGGATTTTCGCCTCTTCTCGTTCGTTGTTTTCACAGGTGTCTTGTGAGAGGGCCTCGCTTGATTTTTCGGAGTTTACTTCGTGCACACAGTAAGGACAGCGAGGACCGAGTGTGAAGCACAACTGTGAGTAGTCTCTCGCTGTTATGCTTTTCACGACGTTCAACAAGAACTTTAGGAGCTTCCAGATGGGATACTTTTGCTCAAACGCCAAGACAGTGACCGAAAGAAGCATCTGTTGAGAAGAACGTCTCTCCAGCTGCAACTTGAAGATACACCTAGTGCCGATGTTGAACCGGCACCGGTCTGCAAAAATCAGAGGTTTGGAGGTTGAATCAAACTTGTCTAGACTGGCATGTGTCAGGCAACGGGTCAGAAGACGAGAGTAGACGGTACTGGGATCGAAGGAACCAAAGTCGAAATAAAAGACCTCCTCTTTACTCTGGGGTTTCCAAAACTCCATCGATTCACCTCGGTAAGGGGGCAGCATGGCAGGCACCAAGAAAGACTTCTGGGAGCAGTTTGGATTGAAGACAGACGCCACCGGACACATGAGGTCATAGGCCTGCAGAAGCTTGGTCAGAAGTGGCACAAGATGAAGCATGTCTCCGTAAATATGTTGTAGTAGACCCTCGTTGATGATTCCACTGCTTTCGTAATCTCTCCAATTCACAGCAAATCGATGCGACCTTTTAGAGCCACGCGGGATTCGCACGAGTTTCTTCATGACATCAACTAAGAACTGGGGGTCCAACACGACATGTTGTCGCAAGATGTCGTCGTCATCTTTGTGAATGAGTTCTCCAGCCTCGCCAAAAAATCGCAGCATGCTCTTTAAGTCGTCTTCATTGGTCACATCGCAGGTATCTCTTGCAAGGTCGCTGATTTGGTCCAAGGTCATCACGTAAGCAGCGCAATCAGTCTCTGCCAGTTTTCGACGATTCTGGATCTCGCGATAGAAGTGCAGGTACTTGATGGGATAAGTTTCCTGAGCGTATTCGGCGCTCTCGACCTGTCTGAATATTTCTGCTCTCAACTGCTTGAAGTCTTCGTCGACGGGTTGGGAATTCTCGACGAGAAACAGCGGCTTGTCATCGAGAGGGTTTAGAACCAGCCGGTGGCAGAAATGAGATGTGATTCTACGGTGAAGTTCATCAGTAAAACGTAACCTATGAGCTTCAGGGACGCTTGCCTTATGAGTACCGACAATGATGATAACAGCATCTGGGTGACGCGCATGCGCACAGACTGAATGTAGCCAGAAGAGAAGTTTCTGCAGTTGTCCATCTTCGTCAGAAACAGCGGCGTGTAGGTTGAAGACGATCACATACAGAGCTCTGTCCGGCATAAAGACGTGATGGGTGCAGTGGTATAGAGTGTCCCCAGCAAAGTCCCATAAACTCAGCTTGGTCTCTAAGATCGGTTGTCGTTGGAGTACCGCTTTCATCTGCTCACGGATAAGTTTAACGGGGAAGGTTGACTTTTCTCGCCATACTTTGTAAGTGTTGTGAAGATCAAACAAGGGATGTGACAGGACTGAAAGAAAGTAAAATGTCATGGACGGCAAACTGGAGTTCGGTATTCTCATTGTCCAACCGAAGATGCATGATAGGTACAGGCCAAAGATGAAACCCACAGTCTTTTTTGTTACGTAACTAGCGCTGACTCCGTATTTATGGGAAGCTCTCCGACCAACAATAGTCCCCCATGCGGCTTGCATTGACATCATAATTCCGTTCAGAAACAGGAAAAGGTAGCGTCTGGTTCTGCAGTCTCCTTTGAGGCTCAGTGCTAGTAGCCACGCCAGGAGGCCACAACATGTAGCAGTTCTGTATTTATGCCACCTGTCATTAAATGTACAGAAAGAGTAGCATCCAATGCCTAGAAGTACTCCTGCACTTGATACCACAACCACCATCAGTATGTCCCAGGAGACAACGGGACTGTTAGCAGCAGCTTCTTGAGTCGCCTTAATCTCTTCTGGATGAACACTCGCCGAGAAGGCAACAGCGACACCTGTACGACAACCAAAACCGTTGGCTGCACCCAACAGAATGGTATTTATCGTATCCAACACCATGCTCTGCATAGTAGACCAAACTGTCTGATTAACAAACCTGCCCACGCCTTCCTGACAACTCGAAGCTTCTAGCAAACCATCTCGTCTAGTAATTGCGTGGAAGAGAATGCAGAACAAAGATATATACGTTGAGAACCGATAGGCGAAGTTGTAGTTGTGCATAAAGGTAATAACTCCGAATGTGCACCATACAAATGCCGTATACCCGTACTTCAAAATACCAAATACAAACACAACTACCAGCAAACAAACCAGCTGCAGGCCCATTTTCATTAACTCGGGCAACGTGTGAGGTGTGGAGTCGTTCTTGCTCGATGTATCAGATCCGAGTGTCGTTGCTTTTCTAGCCGACGACACTTCACCAAGGACAGTCACCACTGAGGCACATTGCTGTATGTCATCTGCCTTGGCGCCTTTGGATTCGTTCCACTGTTTGTCCACATTAGTGACGTGACACATTCGCGTCTCAATCCCCTCAGTCGGCTGTTCCCGGGTGTCGAACTCCCTTCCCATGAGCCGGTTCAGAAGACTGGTTTTACCGGCACGAGGCTCCCCGAGTATCAGGACCCGGGCTCGGTTGGTCGGTAACTGACCGTCCGTCATGGCTGTTGCGTAGGCCTCTCTCAGGGAACCATCCTTCAGCAACGCAGCGAGGTGAAGACTTCTGTTAAAGTCTGAAACAGGAGCCAGAAATTGTATAGAATCGCTGTATCGCCTGGTCGACGACGATTTTGTGATGTCCATTTCCTATAATTGAAATACAAAAACGTGCAGTGAAGGATTCAGTTCAATTTAAAAAAATGTTATATTTCATCATGAGGCATGCACCACCAGAAACGTTGCTGGTACACTTTGAATTAGCCTACTTGAGGTATGGCAGACAGAATAGGAGGGCGCTGTTTGATTGGGGGAAAGTCTTTTGTATTTACCCAAACCAAAAAGTGCCCTCCTATTGTGCCGCCATACCTCAAATGGGCTAATGGAGGGGGTGTAACAAAAAAATTGCCGGCAGACCATCAATGCTAAAAGGTAGACAGGTTATGTTCCCCGGGCACCCGGCCTCTGCAAAATTGAAAAGCAGGGGTGGGGGTGGGAGTGGGTGTGGGGGTGGGGGGATTGAGGGGGGGGGGGGACACACCATCTTCTGATAGGGACGCGGTTCAAATAAGATGAAGTAGACAAATCGGGCAATGTGTTGCGCTCTTTATCCTGGCACATTTTGCCGACGGTCCCATGTTTTTGCCTACAGGAGGGAGGACGATTTTTTACGAGAAAAAAACAACAACTAATGGGAATGTCACATTCCACTCGCACCCCAACATAGCGTCTCCCGTGTGCACAACCAGCTGCAGATGGTTCTTCATTTAAAAAAAACCCACATTATATTGGGGACTTACAAATGGCAGTATCACAATATTTCGAAAATACACAATTCGTATATAAAAATAGTATATTCGCCTCCTAAGGGTTAACACTTTTGACGAGGCGGTAATGCTTCAATGTTTCTTTTGTTCGCAGGTCCCAGAAATCCAGCCTTAGTGTCCTCTTTGTGTCTTTCTCACTGAATGCCATTTGTTAATTAGAAGTAATTAAGCCTCACATTGGCTCTAACGTCGAATAGACTCCGATAACTGTGTCTTCTTTGTAGTGCCATCAAGGAAAACGAGAATAGCTGCTTGCCTGTATCCTGTCATTTATGTCTTAAATTCACTGAGTCCAAATCAAGATAAAAGAGAAATCTAATTATACAAAATGAAGGGATTTTGTGGATTTCATGTTTATATTAATTGTAGGTGCACTGCACTTTTCGCCGTGTCCTTCAACAATTCTCTCACAACTCATCTAATGTCGATAGCTTTCACTTTACACTTCCATTTGGTATTTTTAATTTTTTTTTTTCTCTCTCTTTGGTTGTTTTTCTTTCATTGTGAAGATTGTGGGTTTTTCCCTATTCATTTCGTTTCATAATTATTCACTTGATTTTGTTTACCTATTTGTTTTTTGGTTCACTTGTATAGAGCCCTGAGCAACTTAAGGTGGATATGTTGATGATACGCTATGTGAAGTAAACCACATGTCCATGAATACGGCATTGATTATCTGATTTCTAACGAAATAACCTATACAGTTACACAGACTGCTACTCAGCTTTAAATATAACTCTCCCGGAAGTGAGACTATCTGAAGCCAGTAGGGATTTTCCCGGGGCAAACCTGTTACCGTAATGATAGTATTGTCGTAGACAAACAAGTCTAAAGTAAATATACTTCTGCGTACGTAAATACAACGCTAATATTTTCATCTAAGGTTCTATTGGAATACTGCGCACTCATGCAAGACCGACACCATGTATAGGATGTAAAACGTGTAGTGTCCTATTTAGCTGTTTCGGTAACACACCGAAACAGCTCTTGTTTTCGTTAAGAGGTTTTTTTTTTTTTTTTTTTTTTTCTCCTTTTTCTACGGAGCTTTTAAAGGGACATAGGTGAAAAAAAAAATTGAAAAAATCATCGTAAGAATGAAAAAAATCTGCGTTCGAACGAAAAAAATCTGCGTTCGAACGAAAAAAATCTGCGTTCGAACGAAAAAAATCTGCGTTCGAACGAAAAAAATCTGCGTTCGAACGAAAAAAATCTGCGTTCGAACGAAAAAAATCTGCGTTCGAACGAAAAAAATCTGCGTTCGAACGAAAAAAATCTGCGTTCGAACGAAAAAAATCTGCGTTCGAACGAAAAAAATCTGCGTTCGAACGAAAAAAATCTGCGTTCGAACGAAAAAAAATCTGCGTTCGAACGAAAAAAATCTGCGTTCGAACGAAAAAAAATCTGCGTTCGAACGAAAAAAATCTGCGTTCGAACGAAAAAAATCTGCGTTCGAACGAAAAAAATCTGCGTTCGAACGAAAAAGCTGTTTGCTGTTTGCTGTAAGCTGTTTGCCCTCCCTGTGCTGCCCCACCACTTATGTGGGTGATTTGGTCATGTTTTTTCAGGTCCAACATGCATGACATATGTGCCCAATATAGGTCCGTGGCCCAAGTACAGGAATTTCAATAACTGGTCTTAAAGCAGTCTATGAGCTTTTAAACGGTCTTACTAGGGCTTGCTGTTAGTTGGTCATGACGTTTGACCATTGCAATGAAGTTCTAGCTAATTGTCCTTCTTTTTTTAAGAGTCCCTATCCTGTTACAATACTAGCTACAACCCCCCCCCCCCCCCACCCCATCAGTCCCACCCATTATGCTATGCTTAGGCAACACACTTATGAGACATTTTATAAAGTAATTTGCCTTTTTGGTTTCTTTTTATAAAGTGAGGCAAGTTCAAAAAAATAATTAAAAAAGGCTATATAATTATCTTTCAAGTTTTTCAGATAAAAAAATATAACTGGTCGTCATTGTGATTTTCAAAAATTTGTCTATCCACAAATCCTTTACAGTATAAATGTTCATTCCTAATCCTTGTAATAGTTCCAAACTTTAGAAGCGACTGACATGTATATATTGTTTGATCATTTCTGGCTTTCAATAAGCCTATTTTACTAGTCTAACACTTGTACATGTACATGTACTTTCTGCTTCCTCACTTTCAGATACGGGATTCACTAATTAGCTGATTCCTACTCATACTCATAGCAATTGACAAACATGTTGGGCTATTCTGATAGCCATGGCTAGCCCGACATGTTTTTTTGGTGGCCCATGGATAACCAGTTAAATGTGGAGAAACTGTTGCATTTACAAGAGCATGATATGAGTCACATCATGATTGATACGTTTTACATGTTTGGTACAACAGTTTTCAGGGCAAAGAATGTTTTGACCCACAAAAATCACCCACATAAGTGGTGGGCAGCACAGGGAGGGCAAACAGCTTACAGCAAACAGGAAACAGCTTTTTCGTTCGAACGCAGATTTTTTTTCGTTCGAACGCAGATTTTTTTCGTTCGAACGCAGATTTTTTTCGTTCGAACGCAGATTTTTTTCGTTCGAACGCAGATTTTTTTCGTTCGAACGCAGATTTTTTTTCGTTCGAACGCAGATTTTTTTCGTTCGAACGCAGATTTTTTTCGTTCGAACGCAGATTTTTTTCGTTCGAACGCAGATTTTTTTCGTTCGAACGCAGATTTTTTTCGTTCGAACGCAGATTTTTTTCGTTCGAACGCAGATTTTTTTCGTTCGAACGCAGATTTTTTTCATTCTTACGATGATTTTTTCAATTTTATTTTTTCACCTATGTCCCTTTAAAAGCTCCGTATTTTTCAGACTTTTTCTCCATAGGTTTAACACACGTTTCTTCTACCAGTCCACTTTGCCACTTTTTTAAATCCGATTGATTTCAGACTTGGTACCTACTTAGACCACCACCCACAGAAATTTGTGATCATGACGTCATCAGGTGTCAGGTTACATCAAATTAAAAATTCATTTTTCCCCATATGTTTTGTACACGTTTTAAAACACTCCAGTTTGGCATCTTCGTAAATCCGATCGACTTTAAACTTAATTCATACTTAGACCACCACCCACGGATGGTTCTAGACGAAATTCGTGATCGGGCCGTCATCAAGTGTCTGGTTACGTCACATTAAAGATGCATTTTCCCCCATATGTTTTGTACACGTTTTAAAACACTCCAGTTTGGCATCTTCGTAAATCCGATCGACTTTAAACTTAATTCATACTTAGACCACCACCCACAGATGGTTCTAGACGAAATTCGTGATTGTGACGTTTTCAAGTGTCAGGTTACGTCACATTAAAGATGCATTTTTCCCCATAGGGTGTGTACATGTATTAAAACGCTCCATTTCGGCACTTTCGTAAATACGATCGACGTTACACTTGGTACACACTGAGACCATCACCCACAGACGGTCCTTGAAGAAATTCGTGATCGTGACGTCATCAGTTGTCACGCTACTTTACATTAAATATGCACATTTTCCCTATATGCTTTGTACACGTTTTAAAACACTCCACCTTGGCACCTTCATAAATGCGATCGACCTCAGACTTAATACATACTCAGACCACCATCCACAGATGGTCCAAGAAGAAATTTGTGATCGAGGCGTCATCAGGTGTTGGGTTACGTCACATTAAAGATGCGTTTTTCCCCATATGTTTTGTACACGTTTTAAAACACTCCACATTGGCACCTTCGTAAATCCGATCAACCTCAGTCTTGATACATACTTAGACCACCACTCACAGATAGTCCTAGAAGAAATTCGTGATCGTGACGTCATCATGTGTTGGGTTACATCACATTAAAGATGCATTTTTCCCCATAGGGTTTGTACACGTTTGGAAACACTCTACTTTGGCACTTTTGTAAATTATGCGATCGACGTTAGACCTGGTACACACTTAGACTACCACCCACAGATGGTCCTAGAAGAAATTCGTGATCGTACCAATGCCGAGATGGGTTATAAATGAACATTCATGTGATGACATCATCAAATGTCATGTGACGTCCCTTAAAGGGGCATTTTGTTGTTCATAGGCCTATATTTACAGACCTTTATGTTCGATTTGGTTATAACTTGACATGTAGGTATAATGTGCTGTTATAGATGACATTTTTAGTGACGTCACTGATTGTTCATCATATGCACAGAGTATTTCGAATATCCGAAACAGCTTGTGTTTGTCCACAAACACATCTCTAGTTTTGACATTTTTTTTTGTTTTGTGTCCTAGACCTATCCAGTCAATGGCAGTTATTTAATGGGATAGGTGAAAGAAAAAA